TTTGTGATAAACTATAGATTGGTCCGAATGGCGGTTGTGCTCCTTCTTGAAGGTCAATTGAGCAATCATAGGGACGATGTTCCAGGAGTGTATCCGCATTCTTTTTTTCAAATATATCTTGAAATTCTTGATATTAGCTTGGAATGCTACTTGAAGTCTTTTCACTAGTAGAAACGGGTGTGGCATAAATAATATATGGTGATTCTTTCATAGCAGCATGCAAGAAAGCTTTTGCACCTATAAATACGAGTTTAATTGAACTGGACTTATGACTCTCTACTTGATTAACTACACTGTTAGTTATACTTTTAGAGAAAGTAAGAGTTCGAGAAATCCAATCTATTTGAGGGTTGTATTTTTCTAACCACGATAAACCTAAAATGATTGGATTAGAGGGAGATCTAATGATATTAAATACTACAAAACTATTATGACCATTGATTATTACTTCTATAGGAAGGGTTTCGTGAATAATATCTCCAGAAGACAATGGACGACCATCTATGACTTCTACATGAACAGGTTTAGTTTTCTTTACTAAAGATATGCTATATCTTTTAGTAAATTCTTCATCTAAAAAACACGATGAGGCTCCAGAATCTAATAAGGCAAAGACTTTGTAATGTTTAGGTCCTAAAATAACATTTAATATAAAACAAGGAGAGGGCTCTAAGGAGAGAATAGGACTTTTACTAGATGTTGTGCAAGGTTCCAGCCGCACAGTCCCTATTGTAGCTGGATAAATTCGTTTTCCGACATATTATCTTCTTTCACAGCCATACTCCTCATTTTGTGATTACGTCATTTTTTTGGACAATGTTGAGCAGTATGCTTTGGTTCTCCACAATATAAACATAATCTCTCTTGATGATGACGAGTCTTTTCTTGCTCAGTAAGAGATTTGAAACGTACTGCATCAATTTGCATGTCCTCTACCTCCGAATGTATGTGTTGAAGAGGTGTTGGTATTGCCATTGAATTATAGTAACGTTGAGGTTCACTTATACGGTTCTCAAATCGGAATTCAAAAAGGCGATTGTCGCACTTCACAGCAAAGTCAATTGCTTGACTCAATGTTTGAGGATCTGGTAAGTTGAGCATTAATTTTTTTATCTCATATTGTAATCCATAGAAAAATTGACTAATAAGTGCAGCATCATCTCACTTGATATCAATTGTAAGTTGTCGAAATTGTGAAGCATATAACATTACTGATCGATTGCCTTGTCGTAAAATATGGATCTTATTGGTTGTAACACGAATTGCATCATGTTCTCCATACATGGATCGAAACTCTGCCAAAAAAGCCTCTAGATTATCCAATATTGGATCTCGTTGTTCAAGAAAAGATGAAAACTACGATAGTGCTGAACCTGAAAGAAGCGTACAAATGAATCTAACTTGCGATCTTAGAGTTAGATAGCTTTGGGGTTGAAGTTCAATCACAAGTTGCACTTGATTGATAAATCCTCGAAACTTGGAACTGGTGCCATCAAACTTCTCGGATAGGGCAATTCTTGGTTCTCTAACATTTGAAGGGCGTTCCACCATAGTAGAAAGGACATGGTTTGATACAGATGTTGAAGCAGCTCCAACCATTTCTATATCTTCACTTCCAACCAATCTTGTTGCTTCTTGTGGTGGTAAATTGAGTTGATGCATCGCAAGCATTAACTCCCTCAATTGCTCTTGCATTTGTGCCATTGCACTCTTCATTTCAACAAGTTTTGCCATGATAACACTTAGAAGAGAGAAGATGTCTAATATCGCTCAAGACAAATAGAAGAGAGGACTTGAGAACAAAGAAAATACTAAGGACAATATCAATTTAGAAGAGAGTAATCCGCAACTTCTAATATGCTTATATCTTATCAAGAAAAAGCAGTAATCCGCTCTTAATCAAGATTAGACAAAGCTCTGATATTGTTGATGTACTCTTGTCAATCTGTCAAGGACAAGAACTCGATGAAAAAATAATTCAGACAAGTGAGCCTTCACTCAAAGAGAGGTAACAAAATATATATAAACAAGGATATATATTGAAAGAGAAACTGGAATGGCTATTGCCAAAAGACAAGAAAACTAGAGACCCTTGAAACTAGACTAGAAGCAAGAAAGGAGTTGACAAGAGTGAAGAAGGCTTCACTCTTGTCTCTATATATACTATCTAACTAGAGGCTACGTGGTGACGTTCTATAGGACCTCCAATATGTGTTGACTTTGTAGGACACATGTCTTGGCTTACAAAGCAAGTTCTTCTACGTGTGGGCCACATAATTAGCTTGATCTTCAAGCTAACAACATGTGTGGCACATGGCTAACTTGTTGACCACGTTTCTAATCCAAAAAGTCTATTAAAGACATCTATGAAGTCAAAGCAGCATCTATGAAGCTTCTAGGAAGCTTCCATATTAAATACTATAGAATTTACTTATTTTTATCTACTTTTATTTACCTCTACCTATTTGTATATGTAATTACTAGCTTACATGATTATGTCCGTGACACAAACACAAGCTTACCAAGTGAATCCATCAACTTAGAACCAAGTCATTCAAATTCTTCATAACCTAGTATAGACCATTAAGTCATGCAAAGAAAACCAAAAAAGAGAAGTCTAAACATTAAACCTTTGACAAATTCGAGTACTATGCATTAATATCCATCAACTATGAAGAAGCAATCCATTCAATCAAAAAAAGATTTAATAATGAAAAACAAAACCTAAGTATCATACAATCTTCTTTTAGGAAAGAAAGCCACTTGAGCTAGATGGATATTTAAAATAAAAAGAGAGCAAAAAATAAATTAAAATAAAATCTATGAAGAAGAAAGTTAAAATAGTTGCATTGGGTTATCAACAAAAGGAAGAAGAAGATTTTTTGATATATTTGCATCTATGGTGTTTTGGAGCACCATCAAAATCATTCTTGGATTAGTCGGCTTACTAACTAAAGACATCTACATGCACACTCCACCTGTATTTTATGACTAAAGGAACACTAGAACAATAGTCAAACCAGTACGAGCACTTTACCGTTTGAAGCAAGTTCTCCAAGCTTGGCACTCACGAATCAATTCCTTATGCTTATGTGAATTGAAGAAGAGCTTAGCTAATCCCAATCTATACTATTCAGTATCCAACAAAAATACACCATAGTACTCTTATATGTAAACAACTTTCTGAAAACTTTCTGATAACCAAAGACAACTTAGAAGAAATTGATAGAATCACACAACACCTACTAAACACCTTTGACATGACAAAATTAGGCGATGCAAAATTCTACCTTGGAAGTGAAATTGGATACACAAATCACGGACTGTGGCTTCACCAGAAAAGATGCATTATATCGTTGCAACAGAGATTCGGCATAGAAGATTGTAAACCTACATTTACTCCAATCTACGTAAATAGCAAACTTAGTACATACATGGGAGAAAAATCAGTAGACAAAAAACTGTTTCAGGCTTGTACTTGATGCATGATCTATGCCACAATCATAAGAATCAACACTGCCTACGTGGTAGGATGTATCAATAGATTTGTCATCGCACCGTAGGAACCTCACTTCATCGCAACCAAGAAAATCTTGCAATTCTTAGAAGGAACATTTGACTACAGATTATTCTTTCCAAATGACAAAAAAATGGAACTCACAACTTTTGCCAATGCTGACTATGGAAGATGTTCGGATACCAAAGGACCGATCTCTAAAATGGTAAGTAAACTTGGAGATGATGTAATCAACAAGAGCTCAAAACGGCAAATCAGGTGCTCTGGGGTTTACTTTGCTGAACCTATTATCCCACCACTTGCTAGGGTCGGCAAAATAGTCTTCTCAAAAACGAGCATCACTGTACTTCCTCCTCAAAAAACTGGACTCTGGTTGCGTAAACTGAAGAGGTTCAGAAGAGATATAACTTGGGCCCTCAACTCGAGAAGCATCAGAAGCGGAATTAACACCAATCGAAGAGGTCACAACAGAATGAACCTGTGAAACACCTGCCAACCACATTTCGCAAGAAATTTCCTCTTTGAATTCAGCTTCAGAGGGATTCAAATTTTGATCATCAGTCTCTTCATTCGAAAAGCATTCATCGTTGAAGCCAAAACTTGCTCTGGAGGAAGGTGTGATGGTTTAGAGTACGTACTTCAAGCGATGAGAGTAAGTGCTAAAAGGCGTGTCACCATTCCTACAGAGCTTGAGTTTGGGGGGAGGGGCAACTTTGAACACAGGAATAAAAATTCCAGGGAAAGCGACGCCGGAGTACGTGGTGGAGCTTCAAAAAGCCTCCATTGCATATTGCTTAACAGGAACCCAATAGAGGGAGGAAAGTGCAGGTCACTGTAGATTCTGGATAAGCCTTCAGGATGAGACTCGGGGTCCCATATTATTAGGCAGATAAAAGAAATGTGAAGAATGCATATTGGAAAGAGTGCGATTCCTCCGTCTGACTGCTGACATTAGAAATGAGGCTATATAAGCATTCACGTACTCCCCATACCTGGGAATCTGGGTGTTGCATTGGGGTGTTGTACTTTTTAACTGGATGCCGCAGGAATAAACCCTTGTGAAATAAACAAATATACTTGTACATGGAAGTCAAGCTTGCTTTCTTCTCCTTGCTAATTCATAAGTCTGCCGCGGTCTCGTTCCTTTGCTGAGAGTCCTTTCTTGTTAGAAGTTGAGTTGTCTACAGGAAGTACTACAGTGTTCAGATTCTAGACTCCCCTGAACTCAGTAAAGCTTATCACAGTGGTCCGTTAAGTTATCCAAAACGATTGTGGTATCATAGTAACTTTGAGAAGCATTTTCGGCACACCCGAGACTTGAAATGATGGATCCTCGTTACAGACTCACTTGATGATTTGTATATTTTCTTCTAACAATGCACCACAGCTTTACCAAGAGTTGCTTAGGCGAGAAGAATGGATTCTTCGGCTAAAAAATAGCTCGTCTGGAAAATGCGCATGCAATCAAAATGTAGACCAACAGTGATATTCAAAAAGAAGCTACCATCGATTGAAAGCCTGCAAGGGATACTCTGCAGATTTACAGCTTGAAAATTCTTCTTTTACAACTATGTGTTGCTAGCACGCTGACCAAGATGTAGAACTCTGCTCAAACTAGGTCTGCAAAAATATACACAAAGAGATATTTCCAGTCGCACTAATTCGAATTGAAGAGGTTAAACTAGCACACAGCAAGTCTCTGATGTGAGCCTAATCTTTCAAGTATGACCTCTTCTGATTACAGAAAGTGATTTGCAACACATCTGAAATCACTCAACTTGAAACCCGAGTTAGACCTACTGCATGCTTCCTTCAAATTTCATTAACTATTGAGAACAAAAGTAGTTGGAGATATTTTGCAGGATTCAAAACCAGTCTACCCACTCATCAGATCTGGAAGGCTGCCTTTTCTGCTTCGGAGGTTGATACCTTCCATTCTCAAAATTAGCCCGTGCGATCAATGCTTCTAATGTCAAAACCTCGCTTGAATATGTTGTCCCCTCCAAAGCACTGCATAAGAACCATTAGAGTGTCAGTTTTACACATAGAGAACTCGAAATGCATAGTGTCCCCAAAATACCACAGTTTACTGCCCTACTTGGGTGCATGTAACCCTCGTCGAAGGCGGAGAAATGTGTCGATCTCGTCAACTTACCGCTCCATTAAATCTTCCAGTATAACACGTTGCATAGGAGTAACCCAATAGATGCAGTTACGAGGACATTGGCCAACTGCAAGCTGAACTCCGTAATCTTCACCTTGCCCAGGTCCTTGTACGCAGCGACAAAATACGTGTCAATATGTTTTCTTTGTTGAAAGGCAAATTTTGATTCGACTGCTACTTGAAAACAGGGAAACCATTCAGCTTGAATCAATAAAAGTTGGAACGAGACAAAAAGACAACTCACTCTGTAAAACTGCCCTTGCACATCCAGTGTCAGCAGCATATTTGAAAACGTCTGGCGCCCTCTCCACACAAGGATATGGACACCCTGCCAAGCAATACCATCATGAGATATGGCCAGTTCAAGGCCTTGCATAGAAACTTGTATAAAATACTTGTGTACACAAGCAGCTATAACTGCACTAGAGAGGAGAAAGAAGTAGATGAAAAAAAAATTCGAACCTCGGCCCATGCAAGTCATTTCAAACACAAAGACGTCTTCTGCTTCACATTCTGGGTCTTCGAATGGATCCAAGTTCTTCCTGTGAAGGATTCCAAAGGATTATTTTCAGTTGACACTGTAATCATACAGCTACATAAATGAAGAGATGGCTGCTGACATCTACAAAAATAAATGAATGAATGAATGAATGAATGAATGCTACGCTTTTGCCATTTGAAAAGATGGTTTCAAGATAACCCACTAAACCCACCAGTTAGATAAATGTCAATCACTGAGAGGGCAAGTACTCGTAGGAGTCTAACTGCATGGCACTAAACGAAACTTCCAGGGGTAGACATAATTGACCACTACAAATGAGTAAGCTGCAGATTGTTCAGCAAGTCAAACCCATGCAAAGTAGGGATGAAGTCATCTGCAAACCTTCGGTAAGTTCTTGATATAGTGTCCTTAGTTAGCAACTGCAATTGCAATCATCCAAAATGAAACACATCAGGTAGATCAATGCAAGCCTGAACTTTGAGACGACCCCAATTAAAAATCTTTGTACAGCTACATGCGTTCAAATCTTGTCTGACAGTACGAAGCTACGTGAGGAACGACAGCCACTTAAAGGAACTCACTTCATAAGCGCGAAGTATCAACTGCGTAATTGCATCTGCATCTTCTGTGCCTTTATAGACATCTGGATGGAACTCCTTAATCTGTGCAATAAAAATACGTCTCAGGTATTTGTTAGTAGAATTCCCAACATGATTCGGACCCGAGAGCTTTTTCTTAAAACCCATGTAAATTATAACCTACCTCAATGACTTGCCAAAATTAAGCTACTTCTTCAGGCGACGCAGAATGTAAAAATACAGCACATTTAGTAAGACTTCCTTAGAGTGAGCAAAAATGAGTTCATTTCGAGAATTGGGCACAGGTAACTTCGGCACAGAGGAAGCAACACATGTACACAACTCCATACCCGATTTCTAAAAGCGATTTTAATATCTTCATCAGTGCAGTCGGGAGAGACGCCTAAGACTGAGTATGGGCTCTCCCTGTTCATGCGATTAACACTAGTCTCTGACTGCTGCTTGCGATCCTGCGCCCGAGCAGCCACACTCCTGCTCTTATTTCCACCAATTCTAATTCTGTTCCCTCTCGCATCCCACCAGCTCCCTCCAATTCGACTCCACCTATTACTCCCAACTCCAAAACCAGAATCATCGCAGCGATAACTCGAATCCACACCATTGCACTCCAAATCATTCCGATAGATTTCAGTCCCACACCTCCAGCTCCGTGGCAAAGATGTCAGCGAATTCTCCAATCCAATCCTTTTAAACTGAACCGTGGCCCAATTCTGAACCCTACTGAAGTTCCTACCACTAATCATGTCCATCGGAGACAAACAAGCTGACGAGCCCCATCTATTACAAGAAGAAGATTGCGCTGGTCGTGATCGAAAACAAACTACAGCCATATCTATCTCGTCTCTCCCGCCAGATTTCGAAGGCCACGCTCCAGAACATCAAAGCTCGAAATGAAGCTGCAAATATACCACTCCACCTCCTTCGCGGCACCGCCTCCCGCGCGCGGTGCACGACCGGCAACTCTGTGGCCGGGTGTCTCTTTGCTCCCAGTTCTCTACCTTCTCTGAGCGGGTATGAAAGCCTCCCCTCTAACTGACGCCAAGTGACGTGGAATTCATTTTGGTAGTTACTCTTTATATTTCTTTCAATTTTCTTTCGTTCTGCTTCTCATATTTCAAATGGCTGTCATAAGTTAAAATATTGAACCGAAAAAGATACTTTGGTATAAATTTATTTATATAAGCAATATATCATTTAAGACTCTCAAGTTTCTATGTATTTATTTTTTGAGCTTTTTTTAAATATATATCTTTAAAATTTTGATAAGATTCACATTTATAATATTAAAGTTTAATCTTTTTTGTAAAGAGTGGTATTATTTTTTTCTTAAAAGTATCAACTATTTTTGAGATTGTGGATTATCTTCTTCTAAATTCATATTCTTTTTACAATATATATATATATATATATATATGTTTATTTATTTATACATAAATTTATTTTATTTTATCTCAAATTCTTATAAATATAAAAAATTAGAAGAAATAAAGTATGCCACAATACAAATGTAAGAATATGTGAGAAATTTGAAAATTAATATCCATCAACTTTGTCTACTATCTCAACCAACATTAAGAATGTTTAATCAAGAAGACATAAAAATGATATGAGTTTTTACAACAATTGCACTACTTTAAGTAATTCACATAATTGCACTAACTAAAAAATCAAAAGTTGTTCTTTTAGTAAAGCTTAATGGTATAAATTCTAAGTTTTAATGTATCATCAACCAAGTATAATGTTTTACTCAACTTCAACCACTTAGGTAAGATATAAAGATTTTATTCTTTAATTTTATTGATACTTAAAATATGAATCAAACTAATAATTATCCATTCAATATAGTAACCAAATTTTGAAATTTTAATCAAAAATTTGTTTATTAGTACCTCAGGTCTTCAATGTTTTTGCTTCAAATACTTCTACTAATCAATATATACAATAAAATGTAAAAGATATGCAAATTAATACTATATGCTTTTAACCTTTATAATATAAAAAAAATCTTCATATAAAAAAGAAAGATTATACCTATGTTTTTGAAAATCAAAATGTATTCATTGAATTTGTCTTAAAAAGTAATAAAATTATAGAATAAGAAATAATTAAAAAAAAAAAAAAAAAAAAAAAAAACAATGTATTGGAAATATGTTTTTTTAACAACATTAAAGACTATGCAGCACAATTCTTGTAAAACATCATCTTAGAAAAATTAAGTCTTCACTTTTCAATCTTCTTCTTGTATTTTTATTAAAAGTCTATTTTTGAACTAAATTTTATATTATTTTTATTTGTACCTTCTTAGATTTTAATGCCATTAGTTTTTTTCTTGATGAAAATTTTGCTAAGTGTCATGAAATATTATTAGTACAAAAAATTAAAAGTGCATTTACAAAAGTTATAGATAGACAAAATTTATCTTCAAGAAAAATCACTCAAAAAATTGTACTTATAGAGCTAAATGTTAAGTTTGTAAGTGTCTTGTAGAGTTTAATATGATATAAACTTCAACTAATCTTATTATTTATAATTATTGTGGTAATATATATAATCTAGGAATAGATTGAATATCCATTGGACTTCAATTTACTCTTGTCTTGTTTTAAAAAAAATCAAAAGTAAAAATATCACTTATGTCCAGAAAATCAAAGTACTATATTTAGAAATTAAAATGTGTATACAAGCCATAGAATAGAAGATATTTGTTTTATTTATTTAGTACCAAATCATCATTCAAGTAAGGTTGTAGTAGAACCTCAAAGTAATATAAGAAATTATGAAACATATTTGAGAAAAAAATTGATGATACACTTTAAAATATCAATCATTTACTTGTGCAATTGATCTTTAAAAAGAAGCTTAACCAATATTTAGACTAATTTCTAATTTTTTGCAAAATAAACTTGCTTCTTTAAAAGAATATATTGATGAAAATATCTCAAAGATTTTAATACATTATTTGTAATTTTATATAAGTGAACTAATTCTTTTTGTGAAGAAAAAAGATAGGTGATTTTAATAAATTATTCATCAAAATTATTTATCTTTTATTTTTATTATTGAAACTTTTGAAAAATTAGCTAAAGCTAATATTTATAGAAAAATAAATTTTAAAGATGCATGCAATCTTTTATATGTTAAGAAAAGAAATGAAAGAAAGATTACATTCCAAATTAGTTATGACCATTTAAAATATAATATTATATCATTTAGACTTAAAAATACTCTAATTTTTTTTCAAATTTTAATAAAAAAAGATATTTTTTGAATTTCTAAATAGTTTCTTTGTATGTTACATATACAATATTTTTATCTATATTAAGGAAATAAATAAATAAATAAAAACCATATACAAAATTTATTCCTTGTAGTACAAAAACTTAGATATGAAAAATTATATGCGAAGATACAAAAATGTATATTTTATACGAATCATGTGAGGTCTGCAAGATATATCATCTCAAATAATGGTTTGTACATGAATTTTAAGAAGATATAAACTATCATAGATTGAAAAATTTCAAAAATAACATGTGATATCTAATGCTATTTAGAATTTTTACAATCTATTTTTGAATTCTTATCAAGAATTAAAAATAGATTTCTTCTTAGTTTCTATTTTATATTGTGTAGATGTTTTTAAATTGTTTTTTATATATATTTTTTAAATTAATTTAATTATAAGTAGAAACAAATGGTGGACTTGATCTTGTTACTTTTCATTCAAGAATTTTTAACATTAAAGAATAATTATAAGATCTACAACAAAGAACATCTTGATATTGTAGATTTATTCTAAGAATGGCAACATAATCTTGAAGGTGCTTCTAAGTCAACCATAGATAATATAAAATACAAGAGCCTTAAGTATTTTGTATTAGCACATGTCTCAAATATTCTTTAAGTCCATTGGAGCATGTTTTTGTTACAATTTGTATATAATATTTTATATTTTCTAAGAAATTATCAAGACTCATTAAATGCTTTGTTTAGACACTCTTATCTTACACCAAATGAAAGAAATGTTGCATTTTTTCAACTAAGATTTGTTTATTAAAAACAAGAGGAACTATATTTTTAAGTTATTAAGTCAAAAATATCAATTAAAAATACTATTTGGAATGAATTTGTTTGAGTGCATTAATAGAATCTCTTGTTCTTAATATTAAAAATAATCTTTAATGTAACTCTAGTGAATTTGATTTTAAGCTCAATCTTTTTTACTATTTCAAAGGATTAAATACAACACAATTTTTTAATAGCATGGCATTTTAGATGCAAAAATTATAAAGCTTATTTTTTTAAAAAAATTAGTGGTATTAAATATGATAAGTTGTTAAAATATTTTTTCTAATCTTATGACACTTATTAACAAGCAGAGACTTTATAGCATGAATTTTATAGATGAAATTCATGCTAATAAACAAAGTCATTATACAAATTAAGTAGTGGAGCAATATTTTCATTATACTACCAACTATTACTAGAACAATTAAACGACTATCTTGCCATTAGCAAAAAAATTATATAATAATATAATACATTCTTCCATTAAATAAAATTTATTTTTTATCAATTATAATTACTATTTAGAATTCAATATTTTTTAATTTAAAAAATAGATAAATCTATTAGCAATAATTTTTTCAAGTAAAACAGTATAACTTTACATAACAATCAAGACATAAGTAAAGAGACTCTAGAACAACAAAAAGCTAATGAATGTGTTTTTAGAAAATAAAAAATTCTTTTCAAATTTGATCATAAAATATAATCTTATGATAAGTTGGATTATTAAAGATTTGGTCTATTTTTTTTTATTAAAAATATAATAATCTAATTGCATATCAATTGTAATTATTGCAATCAATGAAGAGTTATCTTATATTCCATGTATTTGTTTTCAAGGTTTCTATTACAATTATTTTATTAAAAAGAATACTATTACCACCACTTTCTATAAATTTATTACTTAACACATACAAAAGCCATCAAAGAATCTTGCAAAGAAATTAGAACTTGATATTTCTTTTTATTAATTATATTTATCAAAATTAAAAGCCAACTATTGACATTAAAATAGTATAAATAAAAAATAAATAAAGTTAAAAGATCAACTTGAAAAATTTATTTACAATAAAAAAAAATCTATGTGCAAAAATTTATATCAAGTTATTATTTGCAATTTTATTAAATGAAGTATTTAAGTTGTCTCAACTTACACAACATTGGAATTGAAATGAAGATCTACATGAGAGACATGTCTTTTCTTAAATAAATTGCAAGTTATAACATATATAGAATAATTATCTTGAAAGATATTTTTGATGCTTAGTATTGCTATTGTAAGGTACTATATTTAATTGCATGTAAAATATATTCTTTGAAGATGGTTATGAAGGCCTCAATAATGATTAAATATTTTTTTGGTCTTTTTACCATAATATTGGATATTTTTAATGACTAATAGAATCTATCAACCACTTTTATTGAAAATAAAGATCAAAGTTTGTTGCAAATACCATGCAACAGATCTTAAGATTTATCAACTTATAAAACCACTCTTTATGGAATTTGTTTTAAGAAAAGAATTCAATATAGTAGATGCCTTAATCATATTTTTTTAATAGAAATAAATAGAAATAAATAGATGTGCCTATGTTAGAAAGATAATATCTTCTTCAAGTAACAATAAGAAAGTTTTTAGATTTTTATAGATGTGCCATGTGGCTATTAAAACTTATCATACAATTTTTATTTTATTTTATTTTATTTTTTAACCATGTTTAAAGCCATCTACAACTTGGCATTTAGGCCACATGTCTTGTGGTTCTTAGGAAGCTTCTATAGAGCCTTTTTGATAGTTAGTAAATATAGAGACAATAGTGAGGCTACTCTCTACAGAGCCAATGTTTTTTTATATTTTAGTCTTTATTCAAGTCTTTCTGGTTCCTTGCTATTTAATAATATCCTTTATAGTTTTATTCTATCTTAACTTGTACTCTTTTGTCTTTACTTTCTTCTTTCTTTAATAATACATAAATGTATTGTCGTTTAAGTTTGATCCATATTTATATCTATGAAAAATTTTATTTTTTAAAAATAAAAATAATAAGTTTTATTATTTATTCTTGAATATAATTTATATTTCAAATTTCTTTGATATAAAAGTAACCAAAAAATAAAACATCATAAACATTGATATTCTAATATAAGAAAAAATATTAATAAATAAAGAAAAAAATAAATTCTTTTTGGTATGTGAAGATTAATAATTTGATTGGAAAACTCTTATTTTAAGATGATAATATTGTAACTTTTTTAGATTGGATGAAAAATTAATAAAACAAATATATAGTTTTTTCTTTTTTTCTTTTTTTAAATTAGTAATAAAAATCAAAAAATAATAATTCAACTATTATATATATTCAAAGTTTTGTTTTTATTTACATTTATATTTTATAATATGTAAAGATAGTAAAAGATTATATATATATATATATATATATATATATATATTTATATAGATGTATTTTTGGAGTAATAAGTATGTTTTTGGATATATTACTTGATGTTTTTGCTAAGAATTAAAAATTGGAAGTGATGCAAGAACTAATATAAAAAAACTATTTAAAATCTACAACAAAAATTCAGATCTAGATTTTCTATCGTCATGGAGGAGACAATGCATCTTATATAAACTTGACTACATTATACAAATATTGCAAATCATAGAATGTTAAGTGTAAAATTGCTTTTGTTTGTGATGTGGCTTTAATGGAAATAACCTATACATTTTACACTTCAAAAATCCACTTGTTGCCTTCTCTATTGCTTTATAAAATGTGCAATCAATTGTCATATTCTTCTTTTCCAATATCTTATACTCTTCTTCAAGATTATCATCTATTCTATTGTCTTGATTTACCACCTCTTATAAAAAGAACAAAAAATACATTACAAGTTTGTCTTTCAAAATATGGAAGCAACATACTAAATAAAAAATAGTTATTTTAAAAAAAAGAAAATTAATTAAAAAACTTCATGAATAGAAGCAAGTAAGTCTATAGTAATTTTCTTACTTTTTTAAATTGAAGATTTTAATCCTATCTATTGTTGTATCCTTCAAAGACATTAAAATATATCTAAATCAAATATTATTGGAACATTCCACATGAATGATACCAATTTCAAACCTCTATTAATGCCTTCCACTTTTCCATCTACTACCCATTTGTTTCAATCACAACACATTGACTGGATGATGGAGAATGAAGAAAAATGTGATCTGCTGAGACAATGTGACATCTTGATGTGAAATTGTTCATGCTTATAATCCCATCCAAACTGACATTACTTTTTACATTTGCTTTACTTTTGTAAGAACCAGTTTAAAATTGCATTGTCCATTATTGACTGTACAACGGACAAATAGAGATTTGTTGATGTATACGAGGTAAAAGAGGATCACCGACAGTTTCCTTCAGAAAAAATACAGTTTTTATTATCACCTCCAAAGAGGCCAACAAATAAGACAGATTATATTTTGTGGAGCCAGTTTCTCATTTCTTGGCTGATCCATTCCAATTGGGCTTTTTCATATCTATGCTCCCCTAAGACATCTCGTGCACTACAGCACTGGATCTCACTAAGGACTCCAGGCGAACTGTGATGCTGAGACACATATTCCTACTCAGTGATGACTTCTTATAGCTTAGAACGGCTATAACATATTAATTACAAGACTCCCAACTTCTGTACATGTTGATGGCTCCTTGTAGGTGAAGTTGGTACCTACTGACTTCATCTGAGGTATAACAGATTGAGGCGCTCAACAAAATGCCGTTGTAAATTTTTTGGGGCTACAGGTACTTCAGTACAAGATCGGCGCTGGCATGGTATCTGCGTGCGAAGGAACAGCAAAATCAGCTTAAGTCCTTCCTTGTAATTCAAACGAAGTTAAGGCATGAAGTTTTCCCAGAAGTAATGCTGTAAATTGCAACCAAGAGCTGGAGAAAGAATGCTTGGAATGATATGAAAACACCAACCTTTTGGGATCCTTCCAGAGCAAGTCGTAGATAACCTTCCTCAACCTCCCCCTCGACATCCTGCGAATACCCCATTTACTGTACAAGCGATACCGATCTCGCATACTTGCATTTGTTGCAATGTTGATATAGATAGTATCTCGTTGCTGTTTAATAAGCTCCTTCATTGACTCCCTATTTTCCAGCTTCTCCAAGAGTCTTTCAATGTTTTGAATCTCCCACGCTATTGACTGTGGGCTGGTGGGCTCTGGTTTTTTGAATGCCTCCTCAACCTATCAAAACCAAATAAATTGGAAGTGCACACACATGTTCATCATCATGGGAAAATAAGGAATACCTTCTTCCCTAAAATAGAGAACTTTTCTAAGCCTTGAAAATATCTATAGATGCAGAATAGTGACGAGGAATCTCTATGACAGTTCATTAGCAGCAAATTACGATTGCCATTCGGAAGGTTAATCTAACATGATCAACCAAGATTGCTTACCTCTTGGTGGAGCATATTAGAATCTGTCATCAAGCTCTTGTACTTAAGAGATCTAGTCACAAGGTCTACACACTCCTCATCCCATAATTTGCAGAGATCGTGCAGGGATGGTCCAGGAGTCTCGAGATACTTCAAGCCGTCATCCACCATCATTCCACAATCGGAAATTAACCCACAATCCCAAGCAGATCCGCTGCTTTTCCTAAAGCTGCAATCAGATTCGTCCAAATCAGATGCCTGGAGCAGAGGACCAGAAGCACTTCCTGCTCCCCAGGTACGTAGAACGTTTCTATTTTTAAGCAAGGCTTCGTAACTGCCCTCAGAAGAAGAGTGATGAAGCCTACTAGATTTCGAGCACCCATCTCCGCTCCTGGGTGTTGATTCCTGCCCAGGGAACAGTGCTCTAGCACGCTTTCCAGACCCTTTCTGCAACATAAACAAGACACCAATAGTTGAAGATTATTGGATACAAGATCATTGATATCCGCCCAGTTCAGCCCTCTAATCAAGCACGCTAATCCACGCATTTCATATTTAACTAAATTTGAAGATTTGATTAATTACACAATGGTAGGATTCTTGATGATACCTTATTGTCTTCAGACGGCGAAGGAATCTTTCTAGCAGGATGAAAGCTTCTAGAGGATACGACGCTCTCCGCATCAGAGTCACATTTCCCGTGAAATCTTGAAGATGGGCTCTGAAGAAAATATTTTTTAGAGACTGACAAGGCACTAGATCTGTCGTGATTACAATGAGCGCCAACGCTGGAAGTATACGGTGCCATATCCAAGCACTGGTCATCAGGGGTAACGGGGCTGGTATGATGGAGACTGTCACTGAAAGTTTTCTCTGCCAGCAAGGGACTCTTTACCTCTGAATGGGAGAGATCAGAATCAGAATTGTGGCTTGTCTGATAGAAGGAGATTCGCCTGGTCATTGAATGCGACGGGGGCTTTGATCTACCGATTGCCTCGCAGGACCTTGACGCTGAGTTGCTAGACCGCTGTATTTTGGGTGTGATAAAGCTACTGTAGTGTTGATTAAAATCAGTGAAGTACTGATCCATAGTGGCACAATTGACGACAGGCTCGCCCAATTGAATAAATGACATACGTTTTGGAGAATCTCCAGGTGATGCTGTTTCCCACCCCACAGAAGCATGAAAGATATCAGGCGAGAGATCGAAGATACGTTCCTGCGGTGTGGGCTTCGCAGCCACGACATTCCCATCTACAGCCTTGTCACAAAAGTCGTCTTCATCAGCAAATGCAGTAAGTTGAGGTGTTTCTTTATCCTGTAACTTTGTGGACGAGGTCATGATTGGTGATATATATGAGCTCCTTCGGAAAGAAGTTTCAGTGTTATTTACACCAAGGTTTTGCTCAACAAGCTGCAGAAATTCAGTAACTGTACTCTGACACCTTTTACTGTAACTTCGTGAGTCTTTGGAAGCTCTTGAATCATCGAGCTCTTCATAAATCTCGAGAAGCTTTTTGCCAGCAAGTGTATCGCCTTTCCCTTGAATGAAAGATACATCTTGCTGTGAAACTTCCAGTTCATTGCCATCATCCAAGTTGAAATCAAGCTTACTTGTTGAATCCATCAAGAGACCGTTGCTACCTAAGATCCCGTCGTAAGCTCTGCTTATGGTTTCAGATTGAGGAGATTTGAGAGATCCTGACCAATGCACGTCATTAATCTGCTCACAAGAGGCAGCTGGTGAGGTTGGATCGCCTGATGGACCAAATTTCGGATCTGGAGACCCTAAGATAAGTTTGTTGAGCTCATCCAGAAATTCTTCTTCCAACGCTGGCGGAACTGGAGAGTCTGAGCCTAGATCGAATCCGTGAGTGGACACACTGGCAGAAGGTGTCAAACTGAAACTATCAATATCTTCTTCATTTAAGGTTGTGTCTCTCCAGCGGGACAGGTCAATGGTCTTGGGGGATATATGAGGTGTGCGCTTACCTAAAAGCGGAGTCTTCACAACACAGCCCCTAACCTGATGAGAAGGTAAAACGTTGTGAGAAGCTTCTTCGGGGATGCACACCAGCGCTTGAGAGAACAGCACCATCTCACCACCTGTGGCAGAGGCTTCTGTAAAACTATGCTGGGACTTCATGTTCGGGCTCGAAATAGGAGAAAAGGAAATGTTTGTCACTCCAGATGTATTCCAGCAGCTTTCAGGGACATCCGATTCATCAAGGTCCATGAACCACTCACTAGGCAGTTGGAGATGCTCCCCTTGAAATCCCCCGTAGGAAGATATTTCAATGACACAATTGGGCTTCTGACCTTCAGCGAGCGGAGAAGTCCATTCCTTAGTTGGGGAATATGGAAGCTCAAACAAATTTAAAATCATAGAATCCTTCACACCTGGATCCATTGGTAAAGTAATAGCAGGATCCCACTTTTGGGAGCTCCATTCTTTTATAGGTGTGGAAGGCAATGATCCATCTATGCTAAACTTGGCGAAAGTAAGATCCTTTGCAGGTGAACAGGCAGGACTGTCCAGATTACACATGTCATAAAGCCACGTCTTTGGATAGGACGAAGGCCGGTCTACGTTTTCACAAAAATTCTCTGCCTGTGAATTGCTAGAAACCATGAAAGGGTTGCTACAATCACTCTCTGCGGTCTTGTGCTCAGGACACGGTAAAAAACTCAGAAACTCTGTAAAAATTTCATCCTCTTGAATAGCTGAAATATTTTCATTATAAAGACGTTTAACTTCAAGTCCGGGCGACTTCAAACTTCTCTGGAAGTCCTTCTCTGCGAGGCCACATAACTAGTTAAAGGCAAAGTAGGTTTTTACTGTCACACAAAAGGTCTTAATATAAACTCTCTCACAATTCTTCTCTGAGAAATTAACAAAACAAAAATAAAGATTTTCTGGCTCATTGTTACCCGCTGATATCTCGCACGGTGATTCCACAGGAGTTTTAGTGACCAGATCATCAGGTTCGTTGCTTTCTCTCCAGGGCTTGGACTTCACGCAAAATGCAACATCCATTTCCTTCCCTAAAATATCTAATGTTGAAACAATGCGTCTTGATATCCCCCTTGATTCTCGCCATCGTCTTTGTATTGTAAGGGTAGCATGTTGAAGGCTACGATATCTGTGTGTCAACAAACACATGCGCCAGTGGGCCTGTGCGACAACATAAAAAGTGAAAGTTGAGAAATTGTACAAACGCTAAAAACACTGTGAACCGCTTCTACTGTAAGACAACTGCCGGAAACTGATGCTTCAAATCCAAGCTTATCAAAACACTGTAAACAATAAAATAAAATAAGACTGATACTTCTAGCTGCAAAGCAATGATCCCTTTTAAAATTAGCTGTTTAGGGAAAGGTAGCTACACCAACCTGAATCACGATTGCTGCTTTCTCTCTCTTGACCGACCAGGGAAAGTTCCAATAGCCCAAATGAAGAGCACATTGAGGTGAAACTCGATCAGATAATCTGTCTTCTGGTAGATGCCACTTAAATTTTATTTGTGACCTACGTAGAACAAGGGGTGAGTGCTGCTTCGAGCAAGCAGATTGAGGCGTTCGAGGTCTGGCTCCAATCCTGGGCGTATGAGGAGTGGCTTCTATCTTGTAATGTCTTACTTTGCCAGACTTTCGAACTTTGCTCTTGCGCAAGGGTGTAGGCATCCTATTGTCTTTCTTGATTAGGGGAATAGATGGTTTGCTTGTTCTGGCTGCCATAAGGAACCCTCGCCTTTTCTCCGGATCTTTCAAAGTCCTGATGCCATCTGCATATATTCATACCACGTTATAAACGACAGAAGACTCGGCTATGTTGTATCATGGAATGAAGATTTACGGACCAAACAAGAGCGCTGCTTCAGCTCAAGGCAGTAACTATGATTCTTGAGAATGTGTGAGTGCGTGCGAGCGCGTGTGTAAGAGAGAGGGAGAGAGAGGTGAAAGCCATGCTCACCAGACTTAGAACATGAGTATGATTTCGGAATTCTCCAAGGTGTTCGAGAAGTTTGGGTTTTAGTATTTTCGTTGTATGCATCAAGATTAGATTGCTGAAGACGGGTCAATACTTTGCTCCAGTAATACACAGTCTTCTCTTTGGCAGGTCCTCGGGGCCCCCCTGAAATCAAGCACCAAATCAAGAAACAATACCTTAATATTAGGATGAATTCAAGGGGAAGACTAATACGCAATTGAATTTCGAAATCATCCCACCGGCTTTGAATATTTTGAGATAAATAGCGACGTTACAAGTCAAGGTTGAGAACGAGATCAAATTATGTAACCACTGGCGGTTACAGAAATCACTTGCCATTGTGCGTCTTAGCAAGTGTCTCCCAATCTCTCTTATACAATGCGTCCTTGCAATATTTCGACCAGTAGGCTACTACAGTATTTTCGGCATGCTCCAAATCCCTGCTTGAAAATGTAAAAAAATCAAACAATTGCTACTTCAAATAAAGGAAATTACATAACACAACCAGCTATTTGATTTTCCACCCACAGATCCACGACCAGTGAGACGGCTACCGAAATTATGTTGTTCATTAAACCTTTATCCGCGCCCAAAAGCATTAACTTCAATTACAAGGCCTGCAAATTCGTGAACGAAGGTCGAAATTTTGAGGTTTGCCATTCTCTGGAAATGTGGGAAGTGTGATCTACACAAACATTTGCAGGCAGATTCAACCTAGTGCACAAGCTAAGGTTACCAAGGATTGAAATGACTTGCACCTGCAACGAGACCAAGCAAAAGATTTATTGTGTTTCCAGGCATCCGTGTGATACTCTTCTGAGATCTGCAGGGGGCCAATGCTAGCGCCATTGTCACCGTCAGGACAGTGTGCTCTGTTGCTAGACTCCACAAAACGGATGGCGTCTAGAAGAGGTCGTAGGGAACGCCTACTATCCAGGAGCTTCTTTTGATTCTTTACCTCCCCTAGCATGTCTAACCCTGCAACCTTCGTCTTTTCCCACAAATTCTGTGGTTTCCTACGCATGTGCATGTTTCCCTTAAGTATCACACGCCTACATACATTCTGCTTATTCCAAAGTCCCTCAAAAATCTTAGAATGAGGTACAGTTAACCCTTTCTGAGGACTGCGCTTGCTAACCTTTGACACGGTAAGGGAATTATGCGCCATCCTCCGCTGAAGTCGACCAGCCATCAAAGCTGGGTAGATGCGGAATACAACCCTGCATTTCCAATTCTCTCTATGCTCGCGAGCAACTGAGACACTAAACCCATGCTAGGGGTTGTGGCAATCAAGCGGAATGTCTCTCCCATGACCAGAAATGAGTAATTACAGGGTTCTCAAGTGTTCTGGACAGCTCAAATCAGCATCGAACGCTAACAAGCGTCGCCTAATCTCGCTTGAAATATGCTGTTTCTCTGCATTACAAGATTCAACTTACTGGAAAAACTTACATAGGCGATCACAGGTGCCAAAGAATAGGAACATGTAACTAACGCTTCGGGAAGACAAATATGTCCCCAAAAACCAAAAGCACTGCTCTCATGTAATTCTAGAAGAAGATGATTCCTTCTGTGAGAAGATTCATATTTTAAAAAACCAGCCAGTTGATCGGCTTCGTTTCGAAGAGGGAGACAATGTAAGAAGAGGCAATGCCAAATTGAGACGAAGTTCTTTGAACTCTCTATGAATTAGCGAGAGAAAGACGATATATGGGTGCAGAAGCGGAGGAAGACAAAGACCACGCCACAGCTGCAGCAAAAAAGAGTCCTACAAGACGCCCAACCTCACAATTTCACCTCCCTGCATATGAAAGAAAGGCAAACTCGCAGACATCAGAGCACAAGGGTACGAATTCAGGAGATCGATCTGAACTCCCCCAACTCAAACTCTACCCATAAACAGCAACGAGAGTTAAAATGCCACAGCCCGATAGGACCCCACGCATGGAATTCAATTACCATGCTAACTCATCTCCCCCCCCCCCCCCCCACGCACTTGGCAAACACACTCAACCTCTCACGTGTAGCCCATACTGATGGGCTAAACCCCCCACGACGCGACCGCCCAACTGCAGGAGGCAATAAAGGCGCGGCACACCAGCAATAGCTCCAAGAATCGTCAACGAGCAGGATCAGAAGCTTTTGAAAAACCCACGGTCCCCAAACTTCGGAGGGCGATTTCTGGCAAGCAAAGGAAGACGAAAAATGTTCACCGAAATCCGTCGGGTGGGTTGTGTGGCGAGCTCGCATGTGAGTGGGACGAGTGTGCAGACGGAAGCTGGGATACAGTGAGGCTCCGTTCCGGCAACAAAGATCCATCCTAACTAAAAAGCTTGCGTTCAGCAGCCATGGCCGCCGCCCCTCTCCCGCAACAACGCCCCACCATTGCCGAAGCCTTGTCCATGGTCCACATTCTGTGCATCCATGGATGATCCTTTCCGTTGATCCTCTTGTAAACCGATTCCAAGTGGAACATGACTTGTTTTCGTTTCCGCTTTTGGCGGGGTTCTACGAGTTCGCAGATTTCTTTTTCTCCTTCTTCGGATTATTCTTTTCCTTTACTGCAACTGAAGAGTTGACTTATAAATATGTATTTCACCCTTGTTGCCCAGCGCATGCTTGGGCATTAGGGGTTCAAATTTCTCTTGTGGCCATCTTGTTGCTTGTTAAATGTAGGGAAATTATCATACATTCTCCTAAAATATGATGAAATATCAAGAATACCCTTGTATTCTAGTGATAGAAAATCTATCCCTCAATTTTGAGATAGTAGCAAATATATCCTTAAATACAATGAGGTATTATCATTCTTTCTTTTTCAGGTGCATCTGGGGCCCAAATTGCATGCTGCATAGATTTTAGCACTGTCCTTTTTGACACTTTTGGCACATTTTATCTCCTTTACTTTTGTTGATATTAGTATATCATGCAAATTTTTCTATGTTATATGAAAAATCGAAATAAATGATTGAAGGTAGGTCATAGTAAGATGATTTGCATATTATGAGAATATATCAAAAGTAATTATCAAAAATAAGAATCCATGATTTCAACTCTATAATAAATGTCTTTTACTAATTCATCATGGCAAGCTTAGATATACTAAAGGTTGAATTTCAAGGCTTGTATTAATCCCACAAAAACAAAAACTTATCCATTGTCGTATTATATGTGTTCTTACTTGAGAATACACTAAGCACCCAGTTGTAGAAAGTAAGTAGAAATGCAACAATAATCCTACCAAATCTAATAGAATCTTAAGTAAATTTTAAGTCATCTTTAATAACCTAATCAAACCAATTCAAAATAAATTTAAAAAAAAATTACAAAAGAAATAGAAAGAAGTACTAAACTAATTTCTAAAAGAAAAAAACAAAACAAAACAAAACAAAAAATCTTAAACAAAAAGAAATAATAAACCTTTAAATAAATAACAATAATCTTTAAAAAATATTAGAAATAAAAAAATAAAGAAATAAAAAGAATCCTAAAAAATATTTAAAAATATAAATTTTAAAAAAATCCAAAAAAAATCCTAATTAAAATCTTAATGAATCTTAATCGAATCCTAAGTCAAATCCAAATTGAAATCCTAATAAATCTTAACCAAATCCTAGGACAAACCCTAATAAAATCCTATTGAAATCCTAAATCTTAGAAAAACTTTAGAAAAATCATAATCAAATTCTAATCAAATCCAAAGAAAATGCTAAACCATAATCAAATCTTAGATCCTAAATGAATCCAAATTAATCTTTAATCAATCCTTAAATCTGAAAAAAATATTTACAATCTTACAATAGATTAAAAATTCAATAATTAATGATTGAATTGTTTATTTTGATTCAAAATTTATACACCTTGTAACAACTTAGTAACAACATATATAAAAAAATTGAAGAAGATTGCACATACCAATATCAAGTAAAGCTCCCAAAACCTCTTAGTTCTTAGCCACCCTCCTTAGACTTAAACGTTGTGCTTTCAACATTAATTTCTCTTTGTTAAACTATTCAATTGTTCCAAAAATTATGTTTTGTGTACATATTCAAGTCTTAAATGTATTCACCAAATTTTGCTTCAATCCAACTAGCAAATATTATTAGATCTTGGAATTACTCACTAACACTAAATTTCAAATTTTTGACACCATAACCCACAAAAATCCTCATATATTCAATCTAATTACTCAATTAGCTTTAAATTTTTCATACATATTTACAAAAAGTACAAAAATCATTTGCCCAAGTTTCAGCCATATACATGCTACAAAATTCACAAAGTCTTAAAAATTATAAATTTGTTTAGATTTTTCAAAATCTAAATCCATCAAATATATTATGAATTTTGAAAATTCCTCAAAATCTCAATATTAAATCAAATGACATGAGACCAATATTCAAAAATCTCTTCTTAAGTTTTCTTTTAAATTCTATTCTTTGATATGCAAAAGAATCTTAAAATTATTGTAGGTGTATGGTTTTGTGCCTTATAATTTGATTTCAACCTAAGTTGTCAACCGGTCTTCTTTGAGTATCAATTTTTGATAATTTTAGGTAAATTATACTTTAAACTATATTTAACTCTCTTTTAAATATGCTTATATCAATTTCTTAATGTATTTATTTTGATTTAGATTATTTATGCCTCTACAAAATAAGTAGAAATTTCTTCTATAAAAATATTATTAAGATTAAAAAACTTACAACCTTTTTATAATTTATCATTATAATCCTACTACATCTTTCTAATAGGCTCTTTTATGATAACATCCATATTTTTATTTTTTACCATATAGTCGTTTCACTACATAACACCCACCTCCTTTGAATCAATGTATCCTTTGATATGCACCACATGATTCAAATCGTGTTTGATTCATATTATGTTTTCCATGTCTTCATTCAATTCTTCTTTAACATTTTTGCTATCTTAGTCAGATTTATTGTCTTGTCTTAAAAGATTTATGTCTTCAACAAAATCTTTTATATTTATTTCTATGTTTCTTTCTTTGAATATCTTCACTTGCTTCTTTATAATTAGTATTTTATTTTATTTTATTCTATCTAGTTCTTATAATGAATAAGTTGCATTATCATGAACAATTGTTACTACATATGGTCTAAACCATTATTTTCAAAACTTTATAAAAGTACCATGTTAATTGTTCAAGCTACTATCATACACCAAAATCTAATTATCTTCTTCAATTGCTTTAGATCTCAATCGATGTTGCTTATCAAACTATGCATTATTATATAACCTTTTTCTTTTTAATCATTTTAATGCTATTTGCACATCTTCCAATCTTTGATTAAGTTAGTAAATTTTAATAGCTAAAAATTCTTCTCTTATTAATTTATCTTCTTATAATAATATATTATAAGTAAATACTTTTTCTTCAATTAATATAATAGGTTTTTAATTTGTCATGAATTCAAAATGCATATATTATGTTATTGAATGATGAGTTGTTCAATCAGTCTATAATACAAATGGTAAAAGTCGAGCCATTTTCTAACCTTTCCATTATAAGCTTTAACTAATGTTTTTATAATTTGTGGATGACCATGTTCACTTTTTGCATTTTTTTTAGAATTATCAGCAATAGCTAATGATAACTTAACTCTGCATCTTTCAAAGAAATCACAAGCTTCATGTACATTTAATTCTCAACAATCTACAATGATTTTTTCTACACATCAATAGGAATAAATAATATCTTCAAGTAAAAATCTATAAATTCTTTTTATAAACTTTTTTCTAAATACTCTACCTTCTACTTGATTTGATAAATCTTCATATGCCAAAACCAAATATCTCATTTGCCATAATCTAATTGAAATAATAATCAAATCAATAATTTATTTAAAATGAATAATCAAAGCATATGTTGGATGTAAACCATCTTGATGTTGTATATTAGAATATGTTTTACAAGTTTTATTTAGTCAAGATACTCAAATAATAGCCAATATTTATTAATTCTCCTATATAAAGCTCTTCAAAAAAAAAACTTGTCTTTCTTCTTAAGATTTGATACTAAATAGAACTTTGATCCTATATTATTGTCTACAATCATCTCATCTTTTTTTTTTATATCATACTCAAGACAACATATCTACTACCAAATTGGCCTTTTCAGCAATATGCCTAAATTTTAGATTTAATGATTTGATATAAGCAATCCATCTTAACATTACAAAATCTATTGTTAAACAATTATTAATCATTCCAAGCAATGGTAAGCAATCTACTTTAATTACTACTACTACTATATTAATCAAATAACCTTTTTTAGCTTTCATAAGTGAAATAACCTCCCATAGTTCTCTTTTGACATGAAAATATGTAAATTAACAAATAATTAAAACTTTAGATTCAAATATGATTACAAATCTATTTCCACTTGAATTATCTTGATTTATAATCTATTTAATAGCAAAAAGAATAGTATCTATAGTAAATATTATTTGTCTATTACATTCATAATTAATTCTTCTTAAAATTAGAGGTATCAATAATAATATCTTTAGTTTTTTCATTACTTTATTATACTTTCTTTTCCATTTAAATCAACAACCATAATGTAATACTTCATACAATAGATTTTTTATAAGAGTCTAATGAAGAATCTATATACAATAAAATCTATAAGCCCCTAAAAACTTGTGTACTTCTATTAAAAAGTTATATGTACCCTTTATCCTTTTAATTGCATCAACTTTGCTTAGATCTGATTTTCTTCCATAAAATCCATATATATGTCTAATAATAACAACCTCTTGAACTCCAAACGTAATTTTTTCTTTCAAAAGTGTAAGATGAACTTTTTAAGTCAAGATAAAATTGTTTTACAATCTTATATATGATCAACAACATACTTGTGACACTCCTTCTTATCTAAAGTTTCATTTTTTTTTTTTTTTTTTTTTTTTTTCTTTTTCCTTCTTTACATCTTTTGATAGGAACATCA